GATTAATGTCATTTATTGTCTATGTGGATTTTTAAGCTGGCAATAGATCCCAGATGTGGGGCTGGGGTACAGACCTGAAGTTTATGATAATTTTCTTGTGAGATTTTGATTAGCTAACTGTAGATTACACAGGGATTTTCTTACAAAGTCATCTGAGTAGTAATGAGTCTGCAATTTAAGTGACAGAAATACAATGCAGATGAAATCACCAGGCACAAGATTTCATGCAAACAGCGATGGAGGAGAGGTAAGCCTTATGGGGCAGGAGATGGGTTTTAATATTCCTAGCAGTGAGAAGAGGCGTGACCTATTCTAAGGACTAGGCAGTTCAATGCCTGCTGAGTTTGATGGCTCTAGAAGATGTCTCTGTTGGAAAGACAGTGTAAAATAAGTTGGGATATGAAATGGCAGGAGCTGTCCGTTAACTCTTTGTAGGACCATAGAAAATTAGGCTTGGGAGAGATGTGCTTCTCTTATCTCTTGGCTTACTCATGCTAACCAGCTGTTTGCCATTGACCAAGGCAGTGGAATCTAATGCAACAGAGATATAAAATGTGTTCTCCATCTAAACACTTCCCTATACAGCAAGGCTAAAGTTGTTCTGACAGTGAACTAAGCTTTCTTATGCTAAGTGGTCATTCACAAGCATAGTTTATCCTCAGGAATCTGCCTTCTTAGCTCCTTCTGTAAGGAGTGCACTTGGGCAGATCTCTCTAGAGAACGGCAGACACCTAACTTCAGTTCTCCAAAGCAATGCTCTGAAGTTGCTTCTCTCTTTTTGTCAGCCACAGTGGTGAAATGCTCACATCGATAATTAGTGAGGCTTAGCTAATGCACTGATATAATTTTAAAGCTCACTTTGCTGCGAGTTCCCAGCAAAGCAGCCTGCAAAGGTTGTTGAGTCTTCTGCTGACCCAGATGTTTCTTGACTGAATATCTGTCTCCTCTCTTCTTAAACACTATTATCTCCCTTCATCACCAACTCATTCCTGTTTTCAGGCATGGACTGAGTGACACCCAGCTGACAAAAAGCAGATGTTTCTATTCCCTGTGTAGTCACTAGAAAGACATTTACAGGATATGATTCACTGCACCCTTATCTGTGATCTGGTAGATGAACTGTGCCCTGAAAGCGCTACTGTCTCTCCTCTGGCTATGAAGTGGGTCCACATGTCCAGCTCGGTGGAAATATTGATGGTGCAGACGGCTGAAGTTAAGCGAGATAAATCTCACACCTGCCTTGGTGGGGAGGCTGGGCTGGGAATGGCAAATGTAGAATTGGAATTGGAAGAGGAAGTATTAGGAAAGAGACAGAGCATTTCCTGTGGCAGGGAGAGGGAGGAAAACTAGCCTGAGCACAGTGCACTGCGTAGGAGATGTACGAAGTGGAGAATGGGGAACATTTGTTTTTCTTATTCTGCTGTTTCTGGGTGTTTATAACCTTCTTGGTTCTGTGGTAAAGCCACAGAGCTCCAACTCTTGAAAGGCAACCACTGCACATGGTATGGCAACAGAACACAGTGCCTGGTTTTGAGAACATCGTATGTGAAAGCATTGTTTCGGTGTGTGACATTTGGGTTTTGAAAATGTTTGGCTACATTTTTGCTTAAATCTATGACTTCAGTAGCACCTGCCTCTTCGGTATTTTCATCTAAAGGAAAAAACACATTGCTGAGGAAGAAACTGGCTTTTTAAACAGCAGCAGAAATTCAGATCCTTTTCTTTGGCTGGAACTTTCTCAGCCTTGTGTTTTGTTGGGTTGGAAGGGCAGAAGAGAATATCCTCCCTGAAAACAATTGAACTTCAAGGTCCTGTGCAGCCTGCTGTAGGTGACCCTGCTTCGGCAAGGGGGTTGGACTAGATGACCCACAGAGGTCCCTTCCAACCCCTACTATTCTGTGATATTCTGTGATATTCTGGGTGACAAGCATGCGTCCCAGTCTTGGGTAACAGTGAAAAAAGTCTGGTGGGACTCTTCATTTCAAATGTGGCTTTAGGACTCATCTCATTTGATTTGCAGTCTTAGCATCCTCATTGAGGTTTTCGCTAGAGCTCTCAAGAGTGGGATGGAAATTATTTGTTAGTGTTGATGAGTTTTCTGACCTTGTAATGCATGAAAAAAATTACTAAATAAAGCGGGCTGTATATTCTTTATCTGGGGGCTCACACTTTACAAATGGAGAACATAAAGAAAAAACAGCAGATGACAGAGTGCTGCTACCATGGCAGGGCTGAGAAACAGGGAGGGAGTCAAGTGAAGAAAGTCATGGAAGGACTTTGGAAATGTGGCTTTTGAGGAAGCATTGGAAGAGGTGTAAAAAACCCCTCGGTAAATCAGGTTGTTCCAAGATTCAGGACCAGGGTCAGGAGATGGAAACAACAGGTAGAAGACATCCAAAAGCTGGTCTTTGAAGATACAATTAATGCAACAGGAACAACAGGAGAGACAAAGCTGAACATGAAGGAAGAAAGCTGAGAGACAAAAATTGCAGTAATGAAGGCAATAGTGAGCAGTCAGAGGCAGTGGCTTTCTAGTAGTAGCTAAAGAGTGGGCTTTTTGCTGTTATAAAAGGGAAGGACATAACATCTCATCTCTGATGAGGTGGGGAGAAGATTTCTCCATCTGAAGGCAGAAGCAGATACTGCAGGATCTCTGTCTGTAACATCTGCTTTTCCTCAGCAGGATCACAATTTCCACAATTTTGGGGGATTGTTGCTGTATGTTGGGCACTTTGCTGCCGGGGGCCACTGTAGCTGGAAGGTTTCTAAAGGTATTTGCTCTCTGGTTGACCTTACAAGACACACTCGTATGTGTTTGACAACTTTAATTTATTCTGCATTGCATTTCAAAACCATGGAAGCGAGTACTAATATGCAAGTATAATGGGAAAGAAATTCCTCTCATTTAAATGACTGAGATCTGGTACCCATCTTGTGTGAATGAAATTCAGCTGAATGAGATTCTTTCTTTTGTGAGTTTTAATCCTTTCCAGGTTTAACTTGCAAAACTATTCAGTGTATTCCTGTAAGATGAATACCAAGATGGAAAGGTCATAGGAGCACAGACCAGCTTTTATCTTGTATTTGACCCTCACTTAGCATAGTTCAAGCCTCATCCATGCCTGCAGCTTCTAGGCATTGCTGCTGTGCAGCATAAATAAAATAAATGTGATGCTCTTCACAAGAAAATCCAAATTTCTCTTGTCCTCTTTAGCCCTAATCTGTAGTTTAATTTTTGCAAAATGAATGATCACCCCATGCCTTAGTTTCCCCAGATATATATCAGAGGAATTTGCCCTTGCAAAGCACTTTGAGATCTGTCAGTGAAAGTGTTCTGTAAAACAAAGACTTTTTATTTTCATCTTCCCCTAATTATACTTATTCCTCATAGTGCATTTTGCCGGAAACCCTCTTGCGAACAGCGTCTATGGCAGGATCTGAAAACCGAACTTCCAGCGCTGGGACAAGCTGAAAAGACCAAGGCAAAATAATATGAATAGCGCTGTGTGTACCAAGACATAGTTGATCTTTGACCGATTAGGTCTTACACAATACTGTGGGCATCTCTACAATAAAAAACCCTCAAATGGTAAAAGGTGGTATTTCTGCCTTAGCATGTTATTTGCAGGCAGAAATTAAAAAAGAAAATACTATGTTTAAACACTGGGAGAGACATTGAGAATAAATACAGGAAGCTGAGGAAAGAAGAGCTTAGTGACACAGTGAAGAGTTCAATGCTATGCATTTATTCATTCATCAGAGAATTAAATCACATCAAATAGCATAAAATGCAACTGCTCTAACACCCCTCCATTTTTTCCAAAAACCAGAAAGATTTCTGATAAATGAGACTTGCCAACAAGAACCCTCACAACGTGTCCCAGGCACAGTAATACAGAAAGCGCGATATCGGGGACCTGACTCATCCCAAAACCGGTCCTATTTACATATCTCTGGCTGAAAGTCTCGCAGTGATGCTGTCGCACGCAGCACTTAAATGCTTGCCGTGGGCAGCGGTACTTCATTTGGCAATTAAAATTGCCCCCAGGGAGGAAAAGGTACAGTGTTTACTGGCAAAATACCGAGAATAAATCACCTGGGCATTAAATATCTGTGAAGGTAATTCCTGCATTAATGAGCTCAGTTACAACAACACTGTTTCTCCTTAGAGATGCCCTGTCCTTAGTAAAATCTTCAGCCCTGCTAGAGATAATCCATTAGCAGTTACAGTACCAGAGTATCTGAGAACCTCCCTTGGGCTGTATCTGCTCACACCTCTCAACCTGGACATCATCAGCAGATACAGAAGGAAATATCACATTTATGGGGCACTCAGAATGTAAGATATCTTTGTTTTACCTCTGAACAAAGCAGTTTAAATTCAAATACGCTAATATATCACCAGACCATTTCTCAATGCACACACTTGTCACCATAAATAAGCCAAATATAAGCAGTATCACAATTTACAAATGTGTAAAATTATGCTGAATGATTTAGCTGCCTCCGTTCACAGTTTATAGGCACTACTGGTTGGGAGGTGTGGCTGAAAGAATACTTGGTACCTATAGTACCCATAGCAAAGGTGGATGGCACCTTTTAATGACCAGTGTTGCCACCAATTTTACCTACAGAGGTACTGACATTTCAGTGTCTATTTTTATATTTCCTAAAGTTAGATGCAAAATGGAAAAAAAATATTCAAAGAGCTACCTAAGGTGCATGAGGCTTCTTTGATCTGCCCACTGTTCTGACAACGGGTTGGAGGATACATACATTATGCAGACAGAAAATATCCTGTAGTGCTCTGGATTGTCTGCAGTTGAGGGTTTGTGGGCACAAACCCTATTTCTCTCATTTCCTTATAATCAGAAATTCCCTAAGCTCTTAACATCTTTCCTTACCCGAAAGGAGTCAGGATGTTGCAAACACCCTCCAGCAGCCACCACAAAAAAGCAAACCATATTTTCCCTCCCCAAAAGGCAGAAATAGTCTTTTACCTGGCTTGTTCCCCGTGACGGATCCAAGCAAGAGCCACATCAAAAGGCACTTGAGCTCCATAGGACTTGTTCATATCTTTTCTCCGCAACACTGAGGATGGTGAAGTTTCTCAGAAGTGATGAGCTGGTGCCGACCAAGCCGACGAGCCGTTTACTGCCTGGTTAGATCGATGGGGAGCATCACCCTGCGTGCGTGACAAGGACTTTGCTCTTTGGTCAGCAAATCATGGTTTTGCTGGCTGGCTCTGCAAGAGAGAATAAAGGCTGCTCTCTGTTCAGGTATTAGTAGCTTTTATCCAGGAAATCAAACTTAGTGCTCAGTGTGGCGGAGCGTGCCGTCGTGTGTAGGAAGTGGTTTGACACATCAGAGCTACTGACTCCAGAGCTGTTCCACTACAGCTGAGGTCAGTAGAAGGGGGTGAGATTTTAATGGGTTTGTGCAACCACTCAACCCCAAATCTGTGGCTGGACAGGCATTTGAGAGGGACCATCGCTGTAGGACAGTTGTCTGGTGTATGATGATGGACCTCAGATACCATTTGTGGGCTCTGCCTACAAAGAAAAGGTCCCATGGGGTATCAATTTGTCTTTTTTGAGGTCTTCATCTACTGATGATAAAGCCACACTCCATCTGTCTTTTTGATATATGCATGTTTGCAGCTTCTCTGAGTGACAGCTGAGCTTCTGAAAGATGGACACTTTGGTCAAAAAAAAAATCTATGAGGATGAGGCTGGCAGGTTTGGAAGGGGTTTCTCTTGCTCCTAAATAATCTGGGTTTTCCATGCTTCAGTGAAATTGGTTCTTTCAAATATCAGTGGAAAACTGGAAATCATCAAGGAAGTATCACACTTTATGTAGTTTTTCTACAGCCATTTCCACAGAAATTATTATCTGATAGTACCTAGAGAATTAGTTGGGATGGACTATGGAAAAACAGACTAAAACTGTCTATGGTATTCTGTCATAATTGTCTCACATGCTGGACACTTACTTCTCCTTTATAAATCCTCTGTGAATGAAGTCTTCCTAACAGGCATGCTAAGAAATAGATGTGATACATTTTTAAATGCCGCTGCAGCTGCATCCATCAGTCACAGCCACAGACACAGAAGATGCTGTGTTAGTATCTCTTTCTTGCCTGTTCCTCACTAGCAGAGATTCTTCTGTCCTGACACCCATAAAGGGGATGGTCCTATGAAAGGCAGCTGACACACGGGAGCTTCTTTGGAGTGAGACCCAAAACAGGCCTTTTTGGTGCATCTTCTCCCACAGCATATGGAAAGCAGCAAGCAAGACTTCAGGCAGTGCTCATGAGAGCAGCAGATGGAAGAGGTGCTACAGCCCCTGCTCACTCTCTCTTGATGAATCTCCCTTTGCCCTTTTCATGAAAGCTTTTGTGCAGCCTCACTGATGCAGGTGCCAAGTGCTCTTGGAGGGTCTGTTGGCACAGAGGCTTTGGCCAGGAGGTTACTGCCCAAACCTAAATGGAACAGGGCACAGGGAACAAGTAAGAATTCTGGAGCAACTGCTGTGGGTAACGTGCTTTGCTCACCCTGGGCTGCTCCATGCTCCACCGATATTTACTGCCTTTGCTTTAGTACAAAATCATCTTCAATATTTAATAGCATAACAGGAAACACTCATGCCAAAGCTTACTGAAGGACTTGGATAGATTTGCTCTTGAAACATCTGTCTGCAAGTCTTAGACCCCAGTTCATCACCTTTCCCAAGATACCTGGAGATATGCAACTACATATACAGAACTGCAGCCATCTGGGTTGGTAAAACACATTTGTTACATTGCCCAGAAAGAAATCCCAGACATTTAATCACAATTTGTTCTTCTCCTACTAAACATGGTCTTTTCTTTGGAGGTGCAAGGATTTACTCTCCAACATCTCCTTGTACTTCTGGCCTTGTCAAGCTATTTAATTTCTTAGCTATTTGCATGATGGAGACAGAGATGGGGGGGGCCTTTTCTGCAGTCCTTCAGCTCAGTCTGCCTCTCTCAGCTATTCAGAATCCTGACAGTCAATTAACGACTGCAAACTCTGGGCAGAGGGCAGCAGTTTGGACTGCAGACTTAGATTCTCAACAAGCTGAATCTTTCCTTTTGCTGAAAAAGGTCTTTTTTTCATCAGGTGAGCAGAGACGTGCTCCCTCTTTCAAGCAGCCATTTGCTTTCAAGCAGCAAATCTCACTTAGGTGGATAATAGCCGCTAAGATTTTATTAGAAATTATGAGTTTTTATCCTAGCAAGGACATGCAATGTACAGTCAGTTGTTGTACTGGAAGGAACGGTGACCCCAGGTGGTTCATTGCTACAAGCACAGTTCACATCAGAAAGACCTGTAACTCAGTATTCAGACCTTTTAAAGGTCAGAAAAAACACGGTTACCGCTCGTGAGAGCAATTAGTTAGGTCAGCTTTGTGAAACAGGTCAGCTTCTGAATGATTCCAGGAAAAACCAGTGCTGCTTTTGCAAGCAACTGACCCAAAGCAGAGCGAGGCAGAGGAGGGGAGGGTGAGAACAGAGACACCCAGCAAAGCGGAAAGTTATCTAGGCACAGAAAAAACAGGGTTTTATGAGTAAAAAATCCCACAGTTAGCATTAAAATTTAGATGATTAACATCAGAGCAACAGAGGTGTGTGGCAATAAAGGAGGTGAAGTGATATGAAAACTCGGTGGGAACCTGGAAAGTGATGGAGAGAAATAGGAGGGTCTTGAGCATCTAGGAAAGTATAGGAGCAAAAGAAGGTGCTGGTGTCTCTGTTGCTTGTTGACTTTCTACCATTGATCATCAGAGTTGTGCTGCTCAGAGAAGTCTTCTCTTTCAGCAGAGAGCTGGGAGGAAAAGAGACCATCACATGGTCAAGGTCACCACAGATAAGATTACATAGATTATTTTTATACAACACCACAAGAGCAAGAAAGATGCAGAAATGGAGTTGCCAGGGAGTAAAACACAGACACAGCTCCAACATTCTTTAGGTCTAGGTTTGACAAGGGCCTTTTGAAATCCTGCAAGTGCTTTTAAAACTGTGTACAAACTCATTTGGTCTGGAGGTCTGAGTAATGGAGGCTGTAAGCTCGTTTTACAGTGCAGAATCACAGAATCACAGAATGTTTGAGGTTGGAAGGGACCGCTGTGGGTCATCTAGTCCAACCCACCTGCCGAAGCAGGGTCACCCAC